TTGTTAGGCCGCATTAATTTTTTGTTTTGGTTAAATGTTAAATTTGGTCCCCCAACTTTAAGAAATGCACATTTTTTATCCCTCAACAATTTTTTGCACTTTTTTGATCCCTCAACTCTAAAAAATGTATACCGTTAGTCCTTTCGTTAATTTAGGCCGTTAACTCCGCCCATGTGGCATTTTTTATATTTTTTTTATGATGTGGAGAGCAAAATTTAAAAAAGTGATGATGGACAAAACTTTTTGCCATACCATGTTACCGTGACTCAAAGGCGTCAAATCCACTCAAATGGGCCCCACATCACCAATAAGGAAAGATCTTTTGATGACATGGCAAATTATGTGATATTTTTTTATATTTTTTAAATAATGTAACCAATTAAATTAAATTTAAATGTTTATATGAATAAAAAAATAATATCAAATCAAATTCCATTAATTAATTATCATTAAACTATAATTATTTATATTAATCAAAATTGAGATTCTAAATTAATTTATAATTAAATTACAATTTTCTCATCAAATTTTCTTTAACGGACATTATAGTTTTCTCGGTAACCAAATAGATTGAAAGCATTTTCTTAGCATCCAAACACCCAAACTATACAATTTTCTAGCCAAACAAACGGAAACCCACTAAGAATTGCTTCTTTGCCCATCAGTCACTGCTTTTGTTCTTTCCATCGCCGATGATGTTCTTTCCATTTTGAACATTGAAATCATTTAAATAAAAAAAAAAAAAAAAAAAAAAAGGGATCTCAAAAATCCCTCACAACTTGCAATTTGCATAATATCTTCACAAACAAACATATAACAAAAAAAAAAAAAAAAAGAATTGGAGTTGGGTTCCTCGAACCCAGCAGATCTAGGTTCAGTGGAATCCAGCAGATGGGTTCCATCTAAGCTGGGTTCCCTTGAACCCAGATCAGCTGGGTTTGAGGGAACCCAGCAACACAAAGGAAGAAGAGGAAGAAAGAAAAAGAAAAAAGAAAAAAGAAAAAAAGAAAGGAAGAAGATGGATCGATTTTTTTTATTAAAAATATAAATGCTAACATGAGTTGACATTGACGTGTCATCAAAAAAAATTTCAGATCAACACTTTTTTAAGTTGTTTTTGCCATGTCATAAAAAAATGTCACGTGGTGGAATTAACGGTATAAATTGACAAAAGGACTAACGGTGTGCATTTCTTAGAGTTGAAGGATCAAAAAAGTGCAAAAAATTATTGAGGGACCAAAAATGTGCAACTCACTAAAGTTGAGGGACCAAATTTAGCATTTAACCTTTTGTTTTTTGGTTGGCACAAATTTTTTTTTTTACTTGAGTCTGAGAAGTACTTAATTAAACTCATTAAAATACAAGTTCCACGTTAGTCTAAATCATACAAATAAGATAACGCTAATAATTCATGCCCAACAAGTTCCACAAGCATTCCCTTTATGTGTATTTCCTGCCCTTCCGGAGGTCTTGTCATCATTGCATGATCAAATAGCCTCCTTTGGTGACATTTGCCTCCTTTTGAAGGATAAACTCTGCAACAAGTATGTCTTCACTCAGTAGAAAGTTCTCCATTTAATGAGTTCCATCACCTTCTCCTCTAGGTCAATGTCTTTATTAAATTTTATTTTGTTCCTCACCTTGCACACCCACTCCACGCCCAAAGAGATCATCCATTGTCGCAAGCCTATAAAGAAATAGTCTCCAGCCAAACATCCTGACCGTCGATGGAATTAGTTTACTACACACCATCCTCCATATACATTCATTCACTAAAAATCTTGATCATTAACTAATAAGAAAATGATAGGTACACACTCAATTCGATATATTTTTTGACACCCATTTGATTCAATTATTAAAAATATAATATAAGTATAATTGATTCAGCTAATTTGTATATATTGTATGTTCTTACATATTATGTATATAATTGTAGTTATAAGTTTGTGCACTCTTAATTTTAAATTAAAAAATAACAATTTTTTAATGAGTATATTGTATAGTTTGCTTTTTGAAAAGGATGGAATTTCCTTTGCTTTACATGCAATGGCAAAATACCCAAATTCACCCCCAAAGTATAACGACGGGGACGAATCCACCCTTGAACAAAAAATGGGGACAAATCCACCCACAAAATTTTTGACTTAGATAAATCACTCCAAATTTAACGTGTAACATCATCTAACATCAGCAATCTGTTAATTCGTTAACAGATTGGTAACGTTAGATGATGTCAAATTAATAGATTACTGATATTAGATGACGTTATACGTTAAATTTGGAGTGATTTGTCCAAGTCGAAAACTTTGTGGGTAGATTTGTCCCCATTTTTGGTTCAGGGACAGATCCGTCCCTGCTATACTATACTTTGAGGGTGGATTTGGGTATTCTACCACATGCAATTCCATGCAAACTTTCCAACCCCTTTCCTTCCAAAAACGCATATTGTTGTTAGCTTTTCCATGATTTCTTATTAATTATACTTAATTAGAATTGTTTTAGTGGAAGAGAAGTTAGACATGTCTTCTACCTCTCTCTAGCTATAGAACATCAGATCAGAGAATTATCAATCCATATACACTTCACACCTAATATCTCCTCCTCCTCCTCCTCCTCCTCCTCCTCCAATAACCCTAACCTAAACCAAATTAAGAAACGATCTTCTTGAGCTTTAATGACACAAAAAGTTTTTGTTTCATCTCAGACGATGTCCAAGTCATCTATCCATGGAAAGCTTACCTTACCACAAAATGTGGTAAGGAAGGTAGGTGACCTTTTTCCTCAAGAATTAGATACAACAAGAAAAGCAGATTTGATGATGTTTCCAGAAGGCCACATTAATGAGGATCCATTTGCAGTAACCGCCGCACTTCACAAACGTGGGAAAAATGGTGAGCGAATGGTTTTGTTGCAGAAAGGGTGGAAGCCTGTGGCTGAAAAAACTTGAACTGGAAGAAGGAGACAAGGTGAGTATTTTTCTCTTGGATAAGAACGCGAGGACTTATTCAATTGAAGTGGAAAAGGCTCCAAGGGCGGATCCTGAGCCAGACCAACCCCGCATAAAGCTTGATCTGAACCAACCAGCCAGCCCTACTTGAAGTTCTGATAAGCTGAAGTCTATTAATTAATTAATTGGTACGTTTCCTCGTGTTCAATGGAATTGGTGTTTCACGTGTTTGAATTGTAGCTATTAGTTAAGATTTTGTTAAGTTAACGTTCCTACTGTCAAGGTATCATGTTTAGTGCAGAAAGTCAGTGATAATAATTAGATGTGTTAATTAGGTGGTGCTAATTAGTAATCACCATGCACCACTACTCTATATATAGTACTGTTGACTGAAATTGCCATGCATATTGGCAATAACAGCTTGTAATCTGTCATACTATCAATGAGAGAAAATTAAGTCTGAGCAGATCTTCTTCGTCTTCCTTGCAATTTTCTGGTTCATTGTCTATATATATATTTTGCTTTAGCACGTCGTAACTTGTTAAGGGTTACTCTGCATTTTACCTTATAGGGTCACAGGGATCTTAGAGGGTAACGCGATCATCTGAATTTCTACGAGGGTGGTAATTGTAATTAGATTCTACAAATCTAAGTCACTTTTGTAAAAACCAATATTATTATCCTTGTCATGTATTTGCATCACTGATGCATTCTAGATGGGTGGTAATTGGAATTATTATTGTTAATGACTCTCTGATCGCACATATTCTTTCTTCTTCTCCACTCCTTAACAATTACATAT